TCAAATTATGATTTGATCACTTTGTTCATGTGTATAATAAATAATTTCATAAGAACTTCGTTTGAATAATCGATATTTGCATCCATTTTGGAAGATGATTCGAAACACCGTCGGTAACTCTTTGTGGATTACTTATAAAAGTATCCGAATTGCTATTAGCTTGATAATTCCTTTGCTACCTAAATCCAAATTTAAAAAAAAATAATGATTATAGGAAAAGCGACTTTATTGAGAAAACTTGACGATTTATGTATAGGGACATGATACATCATCTTGAAGCATTTTTTACTATCTTTCAATTTATCGAGTAATATACAGAAGGTTTAATTTGAAAAAATGAACTTTTGACTACTTTTATGCACAATAGAAATAATAGTAAATTCAGCACGCCCTCTATGATATGGAGTCGATTTCTTGGTGTTATTTGAATAATTCAAGTTCGTCCAAACTATCATCAAAATATCAACTTTTCATGAATTGAGAGTACTGATGTACTTAATTTCAATTAAGGTTAAGTTTTGGACAATATTTAGCACCATTTATTTTTTATCTCGAAAACAGATAGAGATAGCTATAAGACATAATCAATAAAAAGTATTGAAATACCAGAGCGATTCCAAAAATGTATTAATATACGGGGTGTTCCATTTAAAAAAAATAAATTTGTTAGGACTTTTTGATGGAAGTGGCAACGCCGCAATGCTGAAAATATTTCAGATCTATAGAACAGGTAAGGAAATGTGAAAGGTGAAATTTTCAGATCGATCATGCTTTGCGTTTTCCAGAAACGTCTAACCTACCATCGACCGTGAGTCACGCTGTATATTATTTCTGCAATCTACCTTACTTCATGATCATCAGTCATTACTTATCACTCATCCATTCCAGGGTGCACGATTTTCATAACCCAGGATGAAGAAGTTGACGATACCATAAAAAGGATCCAAAAAAATTGGTTTGAGAATTTGTTATTGCATGAATATGGGGACAGAAGAAGATATTGAGAACATATTCCGACAAATGAAATATGTAGTTGAAGCCTTCATCTGAGTGTGATAATTGAGAATATTTCCTGAAGAAATGAATTTCTAGAGAAGATGTTTGAAGACGACAAGACACTTGCATGGTGTTCAGCGAAAGAAACATAATGAATTATACTTATTCGATACAGTCTTCTTTCGGGTTTGGAAGTCGTCGTAGTTCGGAACTACATCCTAACGTTTCGCTAGCACGGGTGGCTGACTTCTTCAGAGGTTCATTCATCTAGATGATTCACCAATGACTGGTGATTTCTAGTTCGTAGGTTGTATTTATATTTACTCAGGTAGTCTGCCTTTCCTGTTGATGCGTTGCTATTGGCCGATGTGTTATCACCTGTTGATGACGTAACATTGCATTACGCTGTTGCCACTTTAGCATCTTTTAGTATGGGATTCCAAATCTGGTTAAGCGTTACCGCCTCCTCTGTTTTTCTGTATGTTCATGGATTTCTATGGCTTTCCGCACAAGCCGACTATGGTAGTAGGCAAGTAGTTTCACATCTTCAAATAGTATCGTGTGACCTTCTTCACTAAGCGTGTGTTCCGCCTCTGCCGATTTGACCTAATCTACAGTTTCTCCGATGTTCATTCAACCTTGTACCCATGGAACATATGGGAAACTACAAAAGAAAAGAGGAGGTGGTAACGCTCAACCGGATTCAAAATCCCATACTGAAAGATGCTAAAGTAGCAATAGCGCAATGCAATGTTACGTCATCAACAGGTAATAACACGTCGGCCAATAGCAGCGCATCAACAAGACAGGTGGACTACCTAAGTCAACATAAGTATAACCTACGAACTAGAAATCAAGTCATCGGTGAATCATCAAGGTGAATAAACCTCTGAAGAAACCAGCCATTCGTGCTGGCGAAACGTTAGAACGTAGTTCTTAACTACAACGGGCTTCAAACCCTAATGAAGATAGTAACACTGAAAATCTCGGTCGCGAATGCAATAATGAACTTATGATTATCCAAATAATGAATCATAAATGTTGCTGCTGCGATTGAAACTTTTTGTTCTTGAAAGAGAAGCAAAACGCTAACCCAAGCTAAAGTGTAAGGAATCGTGTCGACAGCTGAATGGGCGCAGGGTTAAATGCGGTCACAAACGATCCCCTTGGGGAACTGGACAAAACCTCATTGTGATTAGCCTACCTCTGATAATGCGGGGCTCTGCCAGAGTTGACCAACTCTTCCCTTGCTACTAGTGGGAACACACATAAATCAAACAACACAAAAACAGAAACGATAAACACAAAAACCAATCCCGAGGCTGGACAGAAGTGCTCAACTCAATCTAAGGCGGTGGCTGGGCATGAACAGGAATGTCCACTTCAATCTAGCGTTTGGAATGATGTTGGACATAGCAGATCACCTACAACAGCAAGGGCACTTCCTGCGGCGGGCGCCAAGAGATCCGCCTTGGATAAAGGCAAGGAACCGGCTGCCTCTGCAGGAAAGCTCCCTCACTTCTGCACCTCTAAGGAGGGAACCCCAAGAAGGTTGAAGAAGTAGCTTGGCCAATATGAAGGAGATGTCTCCTAGTGACCTGTTCACCTTTCTGGAAAGGACAGAATGGACGATGACCTATGAGGACAACTCCTTGAAAGGATGTACAATGTGTCACATGTGGCCTTAGTGCTGTAAGTCTACACTCACCCTCCCTACTCTACAGATACAAATACAGAAGAGTGAACTGGGGTAGTTCTTATTGATGTACAATCTGCTATGAATAATGTAAAGCAGGAAGTTTGTTGGGCAAATTCATGAAACCATAAAACGTGTTCGCCTTATAATAGCCCCTTCCATCGTTCTAATTGAGTATGAAAACGCTCGAGAAAGCTATTGTATAGCGAAACACGTTTGTTGCGGTTTCGTGAACTATCCAGAGAAAATCCCACAATGGAGTATCACCTGAATAAGTTATGGATTTCTATCAAGTATCTACCGATTCCATCACTGGTGCGAAAAAAAGACAATGAAAAATATTTCAAACTTGAATAGAAGCTTTGGTGAATATCAATCAAAAGGGCTTCTGACTGAACATGAATCATATATACAAGCTGATTCACGGTTTCTGAATAAATTCAAGCAATGCAATCAAATATTCAAATATAATTGTGACTGAATATTGAAAGCATAAATCCTTTTACAGAAATTTACAAGTTTAATTCGATATTATGATTGTGACAATGACTGTAACTCTACTGAGACAACTCACATAAAGTCCACCAATAAAGTAAGAATTAATTAATAAAATTTTGAGGTCTTGTGATCTTACTTCAGATAAAATAGTAGATTATGTTTTTCATACCCAACAATACATAACATATTACGGTCATGAATAGTGTCAATTTGTCGAGGAAAACCATACATCCTGATAACATCCCCCGAACATATGAACTTTTCGTAATGTCTGAAATTTCCGTTAACCTTGCTGCTTTGATAATATTTTTGAATGATTTCTCCCAAGTATACATTTTTATGACTTGAATACCACTGATCACTTCACTCATTACTTTGACTCTGAAATCCGTTTTTTCTGCTATGAATTTTCTTAGTTTCCCAGATACCTTTCCACCCAAATATCCTGTGAAAAATGAAAAATATCAATTTGTTTTCGATCGAAAACATTTGTTTGATTCCGTACAGATGTATAATTTCTACTGTAACTGAAATTGTTTGTTATTATAAATAACTGAAATGGTTGGAACTACAACTTTTCATGAAAAGTACTCGTAGAAGCATTCAAATGAAAATTGTTTCCATATTTAATTTCATTGCGTTCGTTAATACTACGTGATGGAATTTCCATAAAACCGATACATCTTTGGGTAATGGAGTGGAACGTATTTTGAACCTGTTGCATGATAACAACTCAGCTAATAAAAACTCATTTGAGAATGAACTTGTCACAACACTCAACTGATTTTCAATATCATTATATGCTAATAAATTTCGCTGAGAAAGGTGTAGTTATCAAAAATGTGGTAAAGCTAAAGTGAAGGTTGCTGGGTCGAGAGCATTGACAATATAATAATGAGGTCATTGATGTACAAACCCGCTTTTGAAATAAAAAAATAACAATAATGAATTCGAAAAAAGGATGGGCTACGAGTTCAATGTGGGATATAGCTCATATTATGGAACGCCGTTTTACTTTTTATTGTCACAAATATTCATTCCTCAATTTATTCAACTAACAATTTATTTGTTTGAATTTAATTGACTCATGCATTTGTTCAACACATTAAAAACGATTGTTCGCAAAATTTGTTCTATTTTAAATGACACTTGATTTAAAATGTTACATGAATAAAATTGTTATTTGAATAAAAAAGAGTAATGAAATAACTTGAAGCTTTTATTGATTCCGAAGAAAAATATTGTTTCAGAGTATTGGAAAATGGAACGCCAATTTATTATATATTATGCTGAAAAATAATCTATATACATATAGTTCAACTCAGCAATAAACCAACATTTTAATTCAACAATCAATGGAATGTATTATTCGAGTAAATTCAACAAACGTTTCAATTCCGCATATAATTTTGACCTTTCAATAAAATGTTAGTTATTTATATGACTGTTGAATTACAATGAAACTTTAAATTCACTTTCTAAAAGTAAGTTTGGGAATAAAATTTCAATGAATATATTTGAATGACTGTCAAAGTTTTTCCATGAAACATTGTTGGTAATAAAAATAGA